AAATAGAAACTTTCCTCAAATAGCAAATGACCTGGAATGAAAACTTTCCTCATTTAGAAAGTTTCCCAAATTAGAAACTTTCCTCATTTAGAAGGTTTCCTCAAATAGAAACTTTCCTCATTTAGAAAGTTTTCCTCAAATATAAACTTTCCTCATTTAGAAAGTTTCCCAAATTAGAAACTTTCCTCATTTAGAAGGTTTCCTCAAATAGAAACTTTCCTCATTTAGAAAGTTTTCCTCAAATAGAAACTTTCCTCATTTAGAAGGTTTCCTAAAATAGAAACTTTCCTCAAATAGCAAATGACCCGGAATGAAAACTTTCCTCATTTAGAAAGTTTCCCAAATTAGAAACTTTCCTCAAATAGAAAATTTAATTATCTTCATATAACTATCCTTTTAACAAATCCCTAATGAAATCAATTTCATGTTCAAGGCCCTCAAGGTCTCCGGTGAAAACTATCTCGAATGGGCCCTGGACACCAGGATTTTCCTCAACTCAAAGGGACTGGGCGAGTGTATCAAAGCGGATAACACCGCATCTGATAAAGACCGGTCCCAGGCGATATTTCATATCCGCCATCATTTGGCCGCAAGCCTCAAACAGCAATATCTCACTCTTGAGAACCCACTCGAACTTTGGGTGGCCCTGAAAAAATGGTATGATCACCAGAAAACGGTGCTCTTGCCACAAGCCAAGTTTGACTGGAAGGAACTCCGGTTCCAAGATTACAAATCTGTGGATGACTACAACTCCGAACTCTTTCGGATAGTTTCAATCATGAAACTATGTGGTGAAGAGGTGTCTGATAATGATCTCCTCGAGAAAACATTATCCACCTTCCATACCCAAAATATTGTGCTTCAGCAACAATATCGTGCAATGAAACATACATTGTACGAAGATTTGTTATCCTGTTTGCTCTTGGCCGAGAAAAACAACGAGCTGTTAATGAGGAACAGTGCCCAGAGGCCCTCGGGATCGGCTCCAGTACCAGTTTCCCGCAAAGAATCCTATAATGTCCAGCGAGACAGATCCTCAGATCGTGGCAATGGACGTAGGAATGGACGTGGAAAGCGTGGACGCAGAAATGGACGTGGCAACCGACATAACCTCGGTTATGGTTCCGGTAAGGGCCGTGGTATCTCTTAACCAAACCGCCCTGCCCACCCAACCAATCAGTCTGCCTGCACCAGATGCGGAATGTTTAATCACTGGACAAAGAACTGTCGTACTCCCATCATAACGACACCACCACCGAGCCAACCGATCCCATGGACTACGAGATCTCAGATCTCCTCGATTGATTCTATCATCTGAACACTTGCCCATGTGTTGTTATCAAACGGCACACATCTGAACATTCCAGATGCATTATACTCACCCATCTCAAAAAGAAACCTTTTAAGTTTTAGAGATATCAGACTTAATGGTTTCCACATAGAAACCCAGGGTGAAGGGAACAAAGAATCCCTACTGATCACTAAGATCACACTTGGCCATAAACAAGTCCTCGAGACTATACCCGCATTATCTACTGGCCTTTACTATGCTAAGGTCAGTATGATTGAGGCTAATAATGCTATCAAAGCCCGGTTCCAAGATTACACTATTTGGCACGACCGGCTTGGTCATCCCGGTACAACTATCATGCGTAAATTAATCCAAAGTTCTCAAGGACACACCCTTCGAGAAAACCGAGTCTTCCCTCAGCACCTCATGTGCACAGCTTGCTCCCAAGGGAAGTTGATCACTCGGCCTTCACCAGTAAAAGTGTCCAAAGAGACATTGCATTTTCTGGAAAGAATCCAAGGAGATATCTGTGGTCCCATTCACCCACCTTCTGGGACATTCCGGTACTTCATGGTACTAATAGATGCTTCGACCCGTTGGTCGTATGTATGCCTGTTGTCTTCTCGGAACCAAGCTTTTGCTAGGTTGTTGGCTCAAATCATCAGATTACGAGCCCACTTTCTAGACTTCCCACTAAAGACTATACGTCTTGATAATGCTGGTGAATTCACTTCCCAAGCGTTTAATGATTACTGTATGGCCATGGGGGTGACCGTTGAACATCATGTGGCACATGTCCATACTCAGAATGGACTTGCTGAATCATTCATTAAACGAATCCAATTGATTGCTCGACCATTACTCATGAGGTCGAAACTCCCGGTCTCAGCTTGGGGACATGCAGTATTACATGCTGCTGAACTAATACGCATCCGACCATCTAGTGAGCATAGATATTCCCCATCCCAATTATTACAGGGTCATGAGCCAGACATCTCCCATCTCAAAACATTTGGGTGCTCAGTATATGTACCCATTGCTCCACCACATAGAACCAAAATGGGACCTCAAAGGAGGATGGGAATATATGTTGGTTTTGATTCTCCCACCATCATCAAATATCTCGAGCCGACCACTGGAGACCTATTTAAGGCCAGATATGCAGATTGCCAATTTGATGAATCGGTATATCCAACATTGGGTGGAGAGAAACACAAGCTGGTCAAAGAGCTATCATGGAATCAAACATCCTTAAATTGGCAAGATCCTCGGACTCTAGAATGTGATTCGGAGATCCAAAAGATTATACACTATCAAAAGCTAGCTAATCAATTGCCAGATTCCTTTGCTGACCCGAACAAAGTAACCAAATCGTACATACCAGCTTGTAATGCACCAGTACGAATCACTGTTCCAACGGGACAAGTTCAAGTTGCTACAGAGTCTGCATCACGAAATAAACGTGGCAGACCTCTAGGTTCCAAAGACAAGAATCCACGGAAATCAAAGAAAGGTGCAATAGTTGAAACCGGGATTCTCAATATAACAGACAGAGCGCGCGCTGAGACTCACTCTAATGAACCACCAGAAGAGGTTCGGGACGCCGAATCTCTAGGTTCTGACGAGATCGATAACAATGAGATCTCTATCAATTACAACATGTCTGGAACCCAATGGAACAGAAAAGAAGTCGACTTAAATGCACTCTTTGCATACAAAGTAGCACTTGATATTGCGAACACGCACGAGGATCTAGAACCCACGTCTATCACAGAGTGCACTCATAGAACAGACTGGCTAAAATGGAAAGAAGCCATAAACGTGGAGTTAAAGAGTCTCAAACTCAGGAATGTGTTTGGTCCGATCATCCGGACACCATTCAATGTCAAACCAGTGGGCCATAAATGGGTCTTTGTGCGTAAAAGAAACGAACTCGGTGAAGTCGTTCGTTATAAAGCACGGCTTGTAGCACAAGGATTCTCACAGAGACCCGGAATCGATTATGAGGAGACTTATTCTCCGGTGGTGGATGCAACTACTTTTCGATTCCTCATAAGTCTGGCCATAAGAGAAAATCTAGATTTGCGGTTAATGGATGTTGTCACCGCATATCTCTATGGGCCCCTCGACAATGAAATATACATGAGATTACCAGATTGCATAGAGCTTAAAGATAAGCATGCATCTCGAGATCAATACTACATCAGGCTGAACAAATCCTTGTATGGACTGAAACAAAGTGGACGTATGTGGTATAACCGGTTAAGCGAATATCTCATCAGAGAAGGCTACAAAAACGATCCCATCAGTCCATGCATTTTCATCAAAAAATACTCAAACAAAGGATTTGTAATCATAGCAGTTTACGTGGATGATCTAAACATCCTCGGAACATCTGGTGAAATCTCCCAAACAGTCGACTGCTTGAAAGCAGAATTCGAAATGAAAGACCTAGGTAAAACTAAATTCTGTTTGGGTTTACAACTTAAGTACGTTAAAGGAGGAATCCTTGTGCACCAAGCGGCTTACATTGAAAAAGTACTCAAGCGATTCAATATGGACCAGGCCCACCCATTGAACAGCCCAATGGTTGTCCGGAGCCTAGGATTGGACAGTGATCCATTTGGTCCCAAGAAGGACGATGAAGAAATTCTCGGTCCAGAAAAGCCATACCTCAGTGTTGTAGGAGCGTTAATGTACTTGGCTAGTCACACTAGACCAGACATTTGTTTTGCCGTGAACCTCCTAGCTCGCTTCAGCTCATGTCCAACTCAGAGGCACTGGAATGTTGGTTTTGCTGATGCAGGTTATCAATCAGATCCGCACAATGCCAAGTCTCAAACTGGTTATGTGTTCACGCATGGAGGAACAGCTATCTCTTGGAGATCGATAAAGCAGACAATCACTACCACTTCATCAAACCATGCAGAACTTTTGGCCATTCACGAAGCCAGCAGAGAATGTGTTTGGCTACGATCCATGACTCAGCACATCCGATCAGATTGTGGTATGAAAGAAGATAAGGAGCCCACGGTTATGTTTGAAGACAACGCGGCTTGCATTGCTCAACTCAAGGAAGGTTATATCAAAGGAGATCGGACGAAGCACATCCTACCGAAATTCTTCTCAACCTCGGATTGGCAGAAGGATGGTACGATCAGCGTTCAACAGGTCCGATCATGCGATAACTCCGCCGACCTTTTCACCAAATCATTGCCCGCTTCAACACTCCGGAAGCTCATCCAACAAATAGGAATGCGTAGACTTATAGATCTACGGTGATGCTCTAATCAGGGGGAGTAATGCGTGTTGTACTCTTTTTCCTTCACCATGGTTTTTCCCACTGGGTTTTCCTGGTAAGGTTTTAATGAGGCAACATTCCCCAGCGTATTATCGAGATCCCGATTGACCATCAGGTCCGGTTACTCCGTCCAAGGGAGAGTGTTATAATACATCATATTGGTTATTCATTATGTACTCTAAAACCTTAGGTTTATATGCCTATATATATGTATCATTATTCATGGAATGGAATAAAATAACAATAAGTTTTACAACAGCTCTAAGTTTTTTTTTCTCATATAGTGGCTTTCTTGCTATTGTTCCAAACAAGAGAGACGAAAGTAGCCAACCGGGTTTAGTGGAATTTTTTTTACTTCAATTTATTTCGGTTTGGTTCTTTCTTGTTGGACCAATATTATTATGTATTATTAGGAAATTGTCGTGAGGACATGGTGAATTACATATGGCAAGTCTCCAGTCTTTTGACACACAAGACTGGTGATTTTAATTGAACAGACGACGTTAAACAAAGAAGCAGAAACACATTCTGACTAGTCAGAGAGAGAGGTGGAGGCTTGGTCAGCTGTTTCGTTCAGGAGGTTGGCGTGATCGACTCTACAGTAAAGGCTCTTTTTTGGTGAATCCTTAGTAAGAACGAAGCCGGTGTACTTGTCCCGCGACTTCTTTAAGCAGATGTTAGCTATTAACTTAAACATTTCGTTCCCCTCCTTGTTGTGAAAGGGTTGGTTTACGTATTCCTCAACCAGCATCCACTGAGAAACCCACAACAAGAGACCTGAGCCGTTAAAAGATCTGTAGTAACTAAAACCCGGCTATATTGAGATTCATCACAAGATATGTAACAGGTTTACCTTAGCAGCATAGATTTCAGAGTCTTGTTTCTTGATTTCAAATGTGCTTGCTTCCAACTCACAGACGAAAAATATATCCGATTTTCTTTGCCAGACTGCTTGATGGCTTTCCCTGTGAGACACCAACAATATGATGTCAAAACTAAATCGACCAGCGAGTAACTTAAAAAGAAGGGATGAAGAGATCTTTTGTTACATGAAAGCCAGGACTTCTACAAATTCTGCATCAATCTGAAGCAAAAGACCAAAAGACAACAGTGAATTTCGATTACAGTATCAATATAAAACCCAAAAGCTATAAATGTTTGTCGGGATTTGAAGCTGGATACGTACATCAGTTTCTTCTTTCACTTCCCTAACTGCTCCAGCCCAGATACTCTCACCCTGTGGATTTGTAAAATTCAGTCAAGATATCAGAGGGAAGTGCAAAAACATATGCAAATAAGTTGTTTAAGTGCTAATAAGTTGCAGTTGATACCATCAAGCCTCACTATATCTCTATATCAAGCTTACATGCACAAATAGCCACATATATATATGATGTTTAGCATTCATAAACTTGTATTCTACAAGAAATAGTAGTGACCTATCGATAATATACAGAGTTTACTAACATATTAGTAGACAAGTTTTGTAGAAATAGGAAGTTGGCTTGGACAAGTATTAACACATTGCTTTCTTTGATTATGTGGTCAACTCTTGGCTCTTAACTTATACTAAATTTGGTTCACTGATTCTTATAATTGGTAGAGTAGAGGCTGAAAGTAATACTTAGCTTTAACTCTTCTTGTGATTGCAAATATTACATTAGGGCTTTAAAGAAAAGATTACACACATATACAAAAATGTGCCAAGATCCAAAAAACTCACCTCTTTAATAGTACCGGTAGGCACCTTCCACACATTTTTCTCTCTGAAATATCCACTATTCTCCTGAACCACAAGCATCTAGAAATGGAAAATTGTTCATTAAAGTTCGATCAAATGTAAGTCTCAGCTCTTGTAGTACCAAAGACCAAAGCTAGAGTCGGCAATAAATACACATCATGTAGAGAAAATGCAAACCGATACACTAAACAAAATATTTGTCCAAACACTACTCATCCGAAATTCTTGTATCTAAAGCCAAAAATGTTTTCTATTCTCTCCCTTTTTAGCAATTTGACTCTCTTTCAGTCCATTTACATTCAAAGTTATTGGCTTACAGAAATATATAAAAATATCGTGTTACCTCTCCGTTCTTGTTCAGGACAAAAGCACCGATCCCAATACGATGAGAAGCATTGCAAGGAAGAGTGCTAGGTGGCTGGGGAAGCCAAGATGTAAGCATCACGTATTCATTCTCGGCATGGTGGTATGTAAACCCTTTCTAACAAATCACCAAACAGAATTTGATCACCAAAGCTGAACAAGAATCAATCCAAAACATAACATAACATCTTCTAACCTTAATTGCAGTGTCAACAAGACTAGATAGCTCACGAGGCAACTTTATCCAAATCCCCTTCTTCCCCTACAAATCCAAGGCCAAAAAGTCAAGTCATTGGCAATACAAATTCAATGCCAACGGACCAAAACAAAAAACCAATTAATATTTTGAATCAAACTTGGAATGTTCTGTCTAAATCAAGAGGTCCATATCTTAGAAACGGTTAAAGCAACACCAATGATTCGAAGACGACCATATTAGAGAAACATTGGAAAGATTAAATCTTTAATACCTGATCCTTCCAAGCCTTAAGTGAAGCATCAAGCTTTGCATCAAAATCATCAACAGTCATGGATTCCACTTCCATCAAGTTCACCACAATACCTCCAAATCTGTCTTCTACTCCATCAAGTAATGAAATTTGCTGACCTTCACCCTCCATGCTACAGTATCTGTTAGAGATAAATAAAACGATATAGTAACAAGAGTATAAATAAACGCTTCCCCTCGGCCTAACCCGATAGAATCCTCCAAAGCTCTCAATTGCTTGGATAGGTTTCAGGCACAAAACCTAACCCTTATTTATAATAAACGTAAAGTATAAGACTTTAGGAAATCCTAAACTATTTCCTAAATCATAAATTAGGAAGTATTCGAATCATTACCCAAGTAAAAGGATATATCTTTGACAACAAAACACCAAGAAAAGCAATGATTTTGTCAAACCCATGTCACACAAACCCCAAAAGTAGAATGCTAGTAAGAGAGAAGAAGGACCTTGGAAGAAACTGAGTCATCTGTGGGAAAGAATGGAGAGGGACACTTAGGGTTTATACTTTATACAAATCCAAGAAGACGACTTTGATAGGATTCAAGAATTTCCAGGCAATGATTTGGTAATCGAGTAACCAAAATGGATGAAGAAGACAATTTAGAAGCAAGTGCATATTGATGAATGTTCGATGAATGTTCCTTTGCTTACACTTTCGTGGAACGAAGAAATCACAAAGATTCGGTGGTTGGGCCATCTTGCTCCGTCAACGGAACAGTCGTTCTCTCAGACAAAAAGACGAGACGGTAACTTTGGAAATTGGAACCAAAGAGGACGACATTGGTTCGGTCTATTGTTTCCAATTTTATTTGGTTTTTATACCAAACCAAAATTCTGGTTTTATACCAAAGATTTTGTTTTCATTTGGGCCCTGATTGGTAAAGAATTTGGAGGCTTTAAAATTTTTTAAAGTTGTTACCGTCATTATTTTCCCAATCACACTTTATTGATTTTTTTACATTGGAATTTTTTTCTTGTTTTATTAAGATTCATTTCTCCATATTTTCGATAGTTATTTAAAATTGTAATTTCTACAGTGACATGTTTTACCAATCGGTTATAAATAAATTTACAGTCAAAGTCCTAACAGCAAAAGTCTCTGCAGCCAAAGTCTTTACGGCGAAAGTCTTTAAAGCCAAAAGTAACAAAATCGGCCTCTTGATTTGGTTGTATACTAAAAATCAAATCTGATTTTTGTTGGAACTCGGTCTTTTGTTTCCAATTTGATTTGGTTTTATACCAAACATACGAATATAGTATTTTTTTTTGGTAAGGATACGAATATAGTACTTAATAAAACAAAACAAAATTTTAAAAGAGAAATTTTGACAAACACCACCTTTTTTTGGTATGAATATAAAACTATATTTAACAAAAAAAAATCATTGTTTACAATAAATGTGACTTTTGTTTTAAAAGCTTGAAATTTTTAAAAACACTTTAGATATTGTTACTACTATGGGTATGAAACCAAAACTGCAAGGCATCCTCAAGTCTTGAGTTTCCCAACTGTGGTAAGGTGACAAACACCACTTTTATGATAGAGATAATTGGGTGAGAAGTATCCGATCTGAGTATAATTAAATTTCCGGTTTTATCTTTTTGAGCACATGACAATGATAATTTCAACCCAATTTTCTGCCTTCTTTACCCTCACTCGCGAAAATAGAGCAGCCCAAAATTAACTTCATTTATTTTCATCTTTGTCTCATATTTTCTCTCTCTCAAAACCTTTCTCTTAGTCTCATCGTCTTCTCATCTTCGTCTTCGAGAACTTATTTTTGCTCCAGCGAAGTACATAATTCCCGCCGTTGTCACTATTAAGTCGCTGTCTCAAAGCGTCTTCCTCTCTAATTCGGTAAGCCGGAGGGTAGAATTTACACGAAGTTTTGTTTCTCGATTTCTTTTGTTTTTCTGATCTTACCACCCGTCGTTTCAATTGTTTCACTCTAATTTCGACTTTTGTTTTCCAATCTTAAACTCTAACTTTTCTGTTAGGCCTCTGCAGATCCACTTGTATCTCTACTTATTTTACTTAGACCTACATATAGACACTCATAATTTCCTGTGGATCTCCATTTTTAACTTGCATGTTGTCATCTCCCCTTCGTAGATCTAATTTTTTGCAGGATGGCTGATATGGAGCTTCCTTCTCATTTATTTGCCGACATAGAAGAACCTGCTGGTGGTCGTCTCATAGTGTACTTCAAGCTCAATACAATCAAAACTGTTATGAAAGCTTTACAATGTTTAATGTACATGTTTAAACATGTTTATATGTATACAAATATTAATAACGCTCTCTCTCTCTCTCTCTCTATATATATATATATATATCTATTTACATATATACATAGATCCAATAACTTAACACTATAATTATTTTTAACGCTTTATATATGTGTCTGCATGTATACTTTTTGGCAACACAGCTGCATGCCTAATTATTGGGTGTCTATTCCATTAGGTTAGTAGTAATTTCAAATTCTCGCTCAACAAGTTGGGTTATAGATTCAAAATTAAGGGATTCGAAGACAGTCCGTCAGTTTGAATTTAATACAAGTCTTCTCCTTCTTTCTATGGCTGCGTAAATATCACTTATACAACAGAGCATTTAATAACTGTCATTTCATTTTTTTCCCTCCCCAAAAGTCAATGGCGCTATCACACGCGCATGGAGTCTGTAACTAATTGATTTTTCTGTAATTCTTTTAAAGTTGAAGGCTATTAGTAACGCTTGATTTTTTGTTTGTCTGGGACGAAGTCGCCTATTACCGATTAGCTAATTAGATGTCCGGTTTTTACCTCTGCACAAATTCACTCTTTATGATATCATATTTCAAAAATATTATAAAGAGAAAAGTTGTTCAAAAATCCTATGAAACCTTATTAACATTTTATAAAACTTTTTAAACATTGTTTATAACGTACGCTGTAGAAGTATATGATTGTTTTTTATAAATTCATATTTTGTGGTATTTTTGAAAATGGACCAAAAACAAGTATATCATAAAAGTGGTATTTTGGGAATTCTACTTTTTTAAAAAAAATAAAAAATAATACCGAAGGGGAACACAAATAAATGATGAAACCATATGACTAAAATTATCATGTAAAAAAAACTATTAAACAAAATATTTGCTATGAAAAACTCATTATATATTATTTACCATATGGTATGGAAGATATATTAAAATATATATCAAGAAAGATTCCAGATAAATTCTTTAATATTATGGAAGATCTATTAAAGTAAGTTTGAATGGTTCATATGATGTTAATTTATTCAGTTCTAGTCAAAGCCATTAAAATAGATCATAGAAATATCATAAAGCCAAAAGATAAATCATCAATATTTTGACCAAAAAAAAGGTTAATCCTAAATATACTATTAAACTTCGTCGAAAATGTTGAATATTTTCTATTGAAGAAGATAAGAGATGTTCCTCTTATTTCAAAATTTATTAACTCTACACTGATTTTGAATTTTACTTTTATAGGTTTCACTTTCTTGTGAGATCTAACAATATTTTCTGAAAAAAATTAGTGTATTCTCTAGAAATATATCTAATGGCCATCAAACAAATTTCATCTCTTATATTACTTTCGTTGATGATTTCGACTTTCATCTTTATTCCCATGATTTCAGGTAAAACATTTATCTGTTTATAACAAATTATCTCATATTATTCATAGATTATCTTAAGAAAATTGGATATTATTACCATTTGAGTCTAATAACTAGACCCAATCTTAAAATGTTCTATTGACCATTTTTACATTGTTGATATCTTTGTTCATGAATCAAACAGGAGAAATGATCAACAAGATAAGAGAAATCAAACAGTGTGGAATGAAATGTTATAGTACACATGAATGCAATGAAACATGCATAGATGAAGGGTACGAAGAAGGGAAATGTCTAGGATTAGGATACCGGAAAGGTGGAGTTGAATGTTGTTGTCTAGCCAGTTCTCAAGATGGTTCTCCTATTTCTAGTCCTTAATAATATTTCATGTCATCTTTACCCTCAATATATGAATAAAAATATATTACATGATGATTCACAATATTGCATCCAAGTTCTACGCAAATCAAATTGTAAATCCATTATCATTACTTTTTCTCACTACAATCTCCATCAAATGTATTCTCTTTTGTGCCAAACATGCTCACCTTTCTTCTACCCAATTTAGACATAAATGACCATCACCAAATTTTCATTCTAAACCTTAAAACACTTCATCACTACTTCTCCCAAAATATTTTCTTTAGACCATATGCTTTCAAATTATTTTACTAGAAACATAATAACAAAAATCACTGAACATACTTGATTGGATACACCTCTAAAGGAGGGTGTATTCGATAACTGATTTTTTTTTAAAATTAAAATGAATAGAAAAATAAAAGAATTAAAGAATTTGAAAAATTCTATCTAAATCACACCATAAAATGTGAGATTTGTTTCTTCAAGTTTTTTTTCTTTTGATTTCTATTAAATTCTAATCAAATCACATTGGCATTAAAAACAATTTTAATATTGGATAACAGTAAAAATTTAAGAGAATTCTAAAACCAATAAATTGAATAACAGTAGAAATTAATTTAATAGAACTCTAACACCAATAAATTTAATAACACTAGATTTAAATAGAATTCTAAATTCGGTCCGTCTAACAATCGATTCGGTTCAGATCAATTCGGTTCGGATCGATTCGATCCGTCCAACAAGATTTTTAACAAGTAAATCCGTTCATTATAACTGGGCCAGCGATTTTTCAGATAAACCTCAACGAACCGGTCGGTTATTTTGGTTAACCGGTTATTTCGGATTTTGAGATTAAAAAAAAATAATAATAACCGAGTTTGGGATATAAAAAAACGGCGAGACGAGAGTGAGATAAAAGAATGGTTTACTTCACTGTTGAAACGTTCAAATCAAAATAGCAAAAAAAAAAGACATAATGGGCCCATTAAGGCCCAAGAATCCATGGCTCCTTCTTTTTCGCCTAATCCCCAAAAATTTCACCAAAAAAGATAAAACAAAAGCTGAAAGGAGGAAACCTCCCAGAGGAAGGAGACGACCACCACCACAACGCATCTCAGCTCTTCCTTAATCCATGGCAGTACGATCTCTCTCCCTCCCTCTCTTTTGTCTCCATATTGTTTAATCTATGAATCTTGAGATTTCTTGTTTCTTCTGTTTTTGGTCTCTTCATCTATTGATTTTGATGTTTATGTGATTTCTTGTTTTTTTTTTTTGTGTGAAATTGTTAAAGTTTGATGCTTTTTCTTCTGATTGTTCATCTGGATTTGCTTTGAGATTTATCATTTCTTGTGGTCCTTTATTTATTTGGATTTATTCGTCTGCGAGTTTTTTTGACTCTTGGATTCTGTAATAATGGTTTTTGCTTGTTGAAAATGGAGCTTTCTTGTCTTGATCTTACAAAAGTTTAATCTTTTGTATAGATTTGTAGTTACTGTTGGAAAAAATCAAAGATTTGTTATCTCTGCAGTTTCTTCTATTCTTTTAGTTTCAAGATTTTGGTGTTGAGATAAAATTGGTTTGTTAATCTTTCATAATGACTCTGCTCTCATATAGTTGGCTAATTCTAGATTAGTGAATAGACAAAGAGAAAGTCTTGGTAAGATCTTGAACAGTAAGTAAGTAGGGACAATGAGAAATTGCATAGTTGTTGTCTATGCATATCATCTTCTGGATTTCAATACTTTGCATATAGCTTGCTTTTGCTGAAACTTTTTCCTAAATATATGTTTGTTACGTGTTGTTGTGTTGGACATAGAGGCTCTTATACTGTTAAATCATAGAAGACAACAACCTTGAGTATTTTGGTTTGCAAAGAATCAATATAAGTATTAATGACATTTTTTTTGAAATGGATGTTTTGTGTGAGTGTTGTTGGCTTTTAGAACTCATCGTCTTGGACAATCGGGTGACTTAAAATGTTTGGATTGTGTGTAGGACAAGGGCCGCCCGTTGCCAAAGTTTGGCGAATGGGATGTGAATGACCCTTCATCAGCTGAGGGATTTACTGTTATCTTCAACAAAGCTAGAAACGAGAAAAAGGGAGGTGGAAAATCCGACTCACCAGGGAAAGATGAACCTGGATATAATAAAAATGGGGAAGTTCTTGAGAAACCCGCCGTAAGCAGCAGCATCTCTTCTTCGTATCTTAATCATCGTAGTATAGATGTATTATTGATGCTGTTTCTTGCATAATTTGCAGAAAAAATGGTTTTGCTGTATACGCGCAGAATAAGTGGAGAGGTGTTTGCCTTGGAAGGTCGTTTATCTATATCTAAAATCATACTGCATCAAGAAGACTGGAGCTTGTCTGAGAAGCCATGACAGTCACTTTTGGATTCTGGTAAGAAATGTTTTGAGTGGTGTGTTTAGTGACTCTGGTTGTTGTGCAAGGATGAATGTATTTAGATAACAACAATGTCGTCGTTTCTATGTATTGGTGTGATGGGTTGTATTCTTCACCTGTGAGTTAATGACAACGTAATATTGCTATCTCTCTGTTGATTTCGGTTCCATGGAAGCTACCTTGAATCATATTCGATTCACTTTATTCGACGGTATTTGAAAATGTCTGAAACATCAGAGTCAACAAGCCTTTCTAGTCTTTCCTCAATACTCACAATGCAAGATACAAACAAATGTACTAGGAAACATATTTGGAGATGTAAAATTAGGTGATACGGTTTTCTAAGTATGAGAAATGTTCCTGCCAAAAAGTCCAGCTATTCCTTTCTCAGGGTCGTTCTGCTTCACAATGGACTCACCAACCAATACCTGTAAAATTAGAATAAGCTCATACATCAGCAATTCAGCGAATCGATTATCTGATGAATGCTTGCAGAGGTTTCAAGCAGCCAAATGTTTGGATGGATGGATGTGAAAGCTTACCGCTTTTACTCCGGCAGCTTGTACATAGGCAATGTCATCTGGTGTAAACAGACCAGATTCGCCAACCACCTTAAACCCACAAAACAGGATCATCATGGTCAGGACTCAGGATGATGTTCCAGCAATTGACAGACACCAATTGAAGAATGGAAAGTGGAAGTACTTACAATCATGTCTCTCTCACGGATTTGTCTACCATGCTCTCCTTCAAGAAGCTGCTTTGTGTTACTGATGTCCACTTCAAATGTTTCTGAAACACAAACATTTTAGATTCGTGAGACTCCTCAACTGAACTAAACTCTCCACAACAAAACTCACATCCTCATAAACTCATTCTAAGACCACAGATATCAGAACTAGCGATATGTACAAAAGCTTTATTACCAAGGCTTCGGTTATTGATGCCAACAAGCTCGATTCCTTCTATTCCAAGCACACGACCCATCTCTCTCTCATCATGTACCTAATTGAAAGTCAAGAATATTAAGAGTGAAACAAAAATAATACTAACTTTCAACGTGAATAATTTGTCACCCGATTAACTATAATCAAAGCAGGAAAAAAGACCTCAACAAGTGCAGCCAAACTAAGCTTCTTGCAGATCTTAAGCAAGTAGGTTATTTCTAGGTCAGTCAATACAGCAGCAATAAGCAATACTGCATCTGCACCTTTAGTCCGGGCATAGTAGATCTGCCATGGATCTACAACAAACTCTTTGCATAATAGTGGACACTGCAATAATTGAAATGCATGGCTTACACAAAGTTTTTTGAATATAAAGCTGCAAAAACACCAGTCTTTGCTAAGAAAATACCTTCACACCAGCGCTCCTAATTGCTTCCAAGTTTTCAAAGCCTCCCTGTTGAACAACATCAAGATAAAAATTATACATGTTAAAAACTTGTTACAAATGTGAATAAGATATCTGCAACTGAATACACAAGTGAACCTGGAAATACTTCTGGTCTGTCAAAACGCTGAGGCATGCTGCTCCACCTTTTTCATAAGCTTGAGCAATCTCGACCTGTAAGACGATATGCATTAGTAACACAGCCATAGGAATCATGAAGACCTTGCAGGTCTAGATAAAAGAACAATAGCAAATCATATTGGGAACCGTTCACAAGAAAAAAGAAAAATGTTGATCTACTACCCAAAGCCAAAGACTACAATGCTCAATGTTCCAATCTTTTATCCATTGAAGAATCAACCTTTACTCGCTTAATCAGAGTCCACTAACTCAATTCAAGAACACGATCTAATGTCATTACAGAAAGAAACAGAAACCAGCATCACATACCGGGTCAAAATTTTCTTTTAAGATTCCTCTACTTGGAGAAGCCTTCTTAACCTCAGCGATCAACCCAGGGAACCCAGTTCTTTTATGAGCCATCCTAAGCGCCCCCACAAAATCCCTAGTCGGAGGAGCATCCTCTACAGCTTTCTTCAGCGCGTCAAGCGAGTTTAGTTCCTTCATCTGAAAAGTGAAAAAACAACCATTAAGTCACAGACCTTCGGATAAACAAACACATTCTAAGGAGAAAGTCTTTACCCGCGAAACTTCTTCGTCTTTGTACCATGTAATCTCCTCCAAGATATTACGGGGAGAATCAGCATCATCATTATGCAACCTCAACTCAAATGGTCCAGAGTATCCCAAAGGAGCCTTACTCGGTGGTTTTCTCCTTATCCTAATACCTTGACTAATGGCTAATTCCTCCTGATACATCTCCACTTCCCATTCCTTGATTCTAAGAGCATTTCCTTTATCCTCTACTGATGAAGAAGACACAGCTAAGCTTTCCTTCAAATCCGACTATCCAAAACAAAAAAAGGCAAACACTTTCAGCAACAAATTGATAGAATTAGAATTAGAAAATCCCAATTTGATCCAGCTAGGGTTTAGACAACATAAAATGTGACAAATCATTAAGAATCAAACGAAAGACTTGAACTTTATTTAAGGGTGTTGTTAGAAATCATCAATCATAGACAGAAGAATCAAAAATGGGAGAACTTTGGCCGTACCTGTTGAGCTCGGATCGAGAATTGCGGCGGAGCCCTAAAGTTTATCTTCCTGTCCATGGCAAAACCTGAAATTGAACGTCTGATTGAGATAGAATTGTTACACCGATACAGAGAAGGTGAAGCCACTCTAACCGGAAGTCTCTGTACCGGAACT